CACCTGGATGAATGAGAATCTTCACAGATTGAAAAAAGTAATGTTTTCAAGCTCAGCAGATGCAAGCAACAGCCCCCCCTTCTTCACGAGGAAATTCTTAGTGTGGCTTGTTGGTGAATTCTGAGTAGCCTCAGAAACGACTTCTCTGTGTCTGTCCTGCAATCCTCCAGGTGCTGTTGGACTATGTCTCCCCTCAGTGACTCTTAGCCGACGGTGAGAAATCAAAACCAGCAATCTTTTGAGTCCTGCAGGCTCCTTATTTACTTAAAATACTGTATATATTACCCTGCCTTTGTCCATAAAGAAGAAGCTGGGCTCTGCTACTCCTCTCTAGCTATGCAGTGACTACCATAAAGAAGAATCCGGCAAGGACTCAAAGGCTCACTTGGCTTTTGATATTTCAGTGGCCCAGTAATGGTAGTACCCACCTTTGCTTTTGCATTTTGTATAACCACAGGGCTGTTTCTGATGAAGATGTGTCTGTGTGTGACCACCACTTTATTGTCAGATGTCATGGAAGCAATTTAGTGGTCTGGGAAAGGGAAAGGTAAAAGGTAAAGGTTCCCCTTGATGTGACTGCCACTGTATTGTCAGATGTCCTGGAAGCAATTTAGTGGTCTGGGGAAGACCACAATGCAAAGAGTGTTTACTGCTGGGAAATGTTATTTCTGTTAAATACAGCTGGCTGGATAGCTCAGTGAATTAGGTACCTGGCTGCGGAGCCAGAGTTTAAGAGTTTGATTCTCCACTCTGGCTCCCAGGGGAGAAGCCAGCCTGTGTAGCCTCAGGCAAGCTGGCAGACTTAGAGTGGCATCAGAAGAATGGAGTGTTTCTTTTAAATATTGTTAAGCCAGCCACCTTGCATCCTTTGGGAGAAAAGGGAAGGAAGAAAGGTGCTGGCCATCCTATCAAGTGTGCATAGGATTGCTGCATAAGGCAGTGACTTCCTAGTAAGCTAGCTACGACATAGCCATTCAGATATTACTGGACTGTAGTTCCATCTTTCACCATTGGCTGTACTACCTGAGACTGACAGATGGCTGGTGTAGTCGAACTACGGCTGAAGGGCTGAGTTGTGTAGGGCTTGGAATTTCACTTTTTAAATATTTAGTGGATTAATGAAAGCATTATCCAATCTTGGTTTTGAATTTTATACTGAAAAGTGTGTGTGTGTGTGAGAGAGAGTGAGAGAGAGAGAGAGAGAGAGAAAGAGAGAGAGAGAGAGATGGGAAAAGAGAAGTAGAAGGGGATGAAAATTATTATTTGTTGACCATCCTTAGCTTTTCTGTAAATTTAATTGAAATAGTTATATCCTTCTCATCTAGCTAAAAAACAACAACCACTCTAGTCAAGGTAATGTCATTTAAAATATTGCTGTTGTATGACCGTCATTTTAAAAATAGCCCAGTGATAATATACAAAAAAAATACAATAAACCATAAAGATTGCTGTTCTGTGACCGTCATTTTAAAAATAGCCCAGTGAGACAGATCTAACAGGCAGTACCAAAGGATGAAAGCTATCAGCCACTTTTAACACAAGCCTCTTGGAATAAAAACATGAGTGTAAAGTGAGAGGCACTGAGAGGTTGGAGTGGCTGCATTTCATAAAGAGAAATATTCCATGATTTGAGTTCTGCCCTTTGGGAGGCCCTCCCTTGACAAATTCAAACGTGATTGCACTTTGGATGGAACATGGAGACAGGCCTTTCTCTCTCATCCTACATAGGAGGCAGGATGATGTCAAAGGAGGAACAATATCCTTAGCTTGAGCCATTTAGGACTTTAATTATTGAGAGTTTGAGTTGTGTTGGGACACGGACTGGTAATGAGAGCTGCTGCTGGAAGCTTTGTGGGACGTGATCTCATTGGGAATGGGCAACAATCAAGAATGGTCACAACTGGTGCATTAGCCTCAGCAGATAAAGGCATCACTGGCCACAGCCAACACCTGTTCACGTGAATGTAAAGCCCATTCCAAAATGCCCCTGGACTGATAACCTAATGCTTTAGGAAATGTGCTATTTTATCTGAGATTAAATTCCAGAGCCTGCCATCTTTCTGACCAAGAGGCTCTTTGTCTCAGCTGAATTAATTTTGTTTCTGCTAGATTCCTGGTACTAACATTATAGAATTATCTTCCAATACAGTATTCCACTCCACTCCAACATTTATGGCTTACAGGCTATATAATCCCATTTCAACACATAAATGGGCCTTTGAAATGTTAATTGAAAGGAAACTGATTTGTAGGATCAAAATTGCTTCTCAACATTTAGAATGAATGGGAGTTAAAACCCATTTTTTGTACTCTTTCCCCATTCTCTAAAGAGATATGTGCTGAATTTTTTTGTGTGTGTCAAGGCTGTGCTGTTTTCTGTAAAAGCAGGTTTATGGTTTTTCTTGGATTGTGATTTTTTTTCCTGAAAACCCTTATGCTTGCCAATATGCCATGCTTCCATAGGGCTCCTGAGCTGCATGTTCTATAGCAGTTAACCATTCTTTCTATTTTAATAGGTTACATGATCTAGAATGGCAGGGGAACAGAAGCCGTCCTGTAATCTCCTTGAGCAGTTTATTTTATTAGCCAAAGGCACCAGTGGATCAGCTCTAACTGCCCTTATCAACCAAGTGCTGGAGGCTCCTGGGGTTTACGTCTTTGGAGAGCTGCTGGAATTAACTAACATACAAGAGGTAACTGTATTATATTATCTGAATTATTTCCTTTCTCACCCTTTCCTTTGTGCCAGAGTTTTGCAGAGTTACAGTTGTAAACAAAGATCCCCCTTTTCAAGGCAGGATCAAGAATGTATGCTTTTTCTGGCCCGAATTATGACACCAGAGACTCTTGAAAAGTAGATTCATGTAGTATATGTGGCTGTTATCTAACTTGGCACAGTGGTTAAAACTCTGCTCACAACCTGGGTTCAATCCTAGGTAGCCAGCTTGAGGTTCACTCAGTCTTCTATTCTTCTGAGGTCAGTAAATTGAGTACCCAGCTTGCTGGGGGGGGAGGAGGGATGTGCAGCCTGCATATTAATTTGTAAACCACCCAGAGAGTGCTTTTAATTCGTAAACCACCCAGAGAGTGCTTTAAATACTATGGGGTGGTATATAAGCAGTATACTGTGCTCTTTTTCTCTCCCCCCCCTTTTTCATTTTTTTTAAAATTCACACCCCCATGTTTTAGTTGGTCAGTTTGGGGTTTGTAGGTAACTGCTTACAAGAGCCCTTGAGAAGAATTGTGTGCTCTTTTTTCTCCCCCCCTTTTTCATTTTTTTTAATTCACACCCCCATGTTTGGGGTTTGTAGGTAGCTGCTTACAAGAGCCCTTGAGAAGAATTGTGGTATACGTTAAACACATATACAATGAAGTCATAACAGATTAGATTATTTTTCTGAAAGAGTCAGTTTCTCTCACACACAACCTCCCTCCCTCCCTAAATTTTCAGCAATCATTTGCATCAGTTCAGTAGGTCCCTGTTTCCTTTCATTACATTTAAACAAGCTGATGAATCCACCCGTCCCTCTCTCTCACCTTCCTTCCCGCCTTAATTGGCGCTTTCCTTCCTGCTTGCAGTCACTGTGTAGCTCCAATGCCCAGAGTGTCTGGCAATTCCAGAGGTTCTTAAAATGGGCTCTAAGGAGAGATGTAAATAATTGTCAGAGTAATCTCAGCTCTCCTCTCCAGGCCCCAGTGTTTCCTCAGTGTAGCTTAGGCCACTTGGCAGCACTCTGGTCTTCCAGCCTCTATAAAGCATGGATTTTTGAGAGGTGGCATAATGTCGTGGCTAAGAGATGGGAGCAATTAATCAGGAAGTCTTCAGTTCAGACTCCTCTAAGCCATGAAATTCTTAGATAGCCTTTGGCAAGTCCGAATTCTTCTGCCATAAGACAATGATCGCATTGACTTACTGGGCAGGAATGTTGGAAGGCTGACAGCTAGGTCAGCGAACATCAAGCTGGCACTCTCCACACGTCTTGTAATCCCTGATTATTGGCCATGTTGGTTAGGGTCGATGGGTCTTGTGATTCAAAACATTTGGAGAGCAGCAGTTTGGGGGAAGCTTGAATTACAGAAAGTCCCTGAAACACTTGAAAGTGCTGTATCACTATTGAGCATGAACAAAGCGCTCAGGACCATGTTTGTGTGCTTTTTCGGAAAGAAAAGCCAAAGAAAGAGGCCATAAAAGAGGCCATAGTATTTTATGTAGGTGTCTGCTTCCCTTGGCCAGGAAAAGAGGGAGCCGTGGCATCCGATACCTGCCTTTATTAACTCACAAAGTGCATCCGCAGCCAGGAGGGGAAAGGATTCAACTAGGTTTTCCTAACGGTGTTGGTTTTCTCAAGAGCTTGAACTTCAGGTCCCTTATTATTATTCTTGACTCTTGACCAGGGGTAGGCAGTTCATGAGACTCAGAGGCCCAAACACTTGGAAGGCCTTTGGTTGAGAAGGCTGGTTTAGGTCCAGTGCTGCCACCACATCAGTTTCAAAATTAGCATCCCTCTTGGATGGATGAACACACTCCTTGCAAATCCCACAGCAACCTGGAGAAACGGCACCGTCTGTTGGCCAGAAGAATGTACTTAACGGAGTGCCGTGTGGCATGCCTGTTCTCTATGCACAAGCGTCTGCGTTGAACCTGGAATGCAGGAAGGCCTGGTATTGGAGGGCTGCACTTGCGAAAGGTCCTTGTCTTCAACGAGTGTGTAGTCTTATGGTGCAATTATAGGTCCTGGGCGAGTCTGGCACCTGATTAGTTAGAGATCAGTTGTATTCTAATGTCTCTCTTCCTTCATTTGCAGCTTGCTGAAGGACCTAATGCTGCTTATTTTCAGTTGCTGAATCTCTTTGCCTATGGAACCTACCCAGATTATGTAGGTAAGAAGACACTGAAATTCTAAGTCATGTGTGATTTGGATGGTTTCTACAGGTAAAATTCCACTCACTTTGAGACGGAGTTCATCTTTAAAACAGGGCTTAGCTTGGCAAAGCTCGTCCGCAATAAGCATTGTCTTGACTTTCAGAACTTCAGAAGGATTCCCCCCCGCCCCCGTGTGTACTGGCTAAAGTGCATTAAGGTTGCTTCTACTTCTCTTCAGTGCATAACATTGCTTGGGGGTGCCAAATCATCCTCACCCAAGTGTTTGTGGTTTTGATGACTTTGACTGCCTTCTGTCCCATCTCCCTCCCTTCTCGGACGTTCAGCAGTTCTATGCTTGGCTTCCTGGCTGTGCATGCCTTTCTTCAATCTCCCAAAGGATGGCTGATGTTTTCTTGACTAAGAGCAAACGAAGCAGGGCAGCTGCATCAATTGCATCGGGGCATTTGAATATGCTACCCTTTTTCTGATACTGTTCTTTTCAGTCTCTCGATTCTGTTGCAGTGTGCCCTTTTCCTTGTTTTCAGCTTGCTTTTTTCTATCTGTTGAAGCTAAGTCACCTTCAGTTGATGTTGCCTCTCCCTGCCTAGTATTTCAAGCACTTTACAAGTAGTCTCGTATTTCCTCTGTTCTGTCTTCACCACCGTTAATATAAAACAAATACTGTAGCCTTAATTTCGTGTTAGGGTTTAGAATGAGTGAAAGTAACCATTGGCTTGTTCCTTACTAATAGGAGGACATTTAACTGAGTTGATGTGTGTCCTTAAGTCTTCCACTCCCCTGTATATTTAAACTTTTAGTATGAGAACAAAGTGCTGATGATTAGTTTTGGAACTTCCCTGTTACAAAATGTGTGTGATCAGTAAATGGCTCCTAAACTTGATTCTCATCCAGAACTTAATCTGTAAAGCTTGTAAAATCTGCCTGAAATATTTTAAAGGACCAGCTCTTGCAAAAACACATTCAGGTGCAGTTTTCTACTATCTAAGCTGGTCTCCGTTCTGTCCAGTGAAGTGAAGCATTTTTGCACTCTGCATCACTGCATAACCCCTCAGATTGGGGTAGAAAACTGTGGTTGTTCTGTGATTAAATTAATGTCACGATGGGCGTAATCTACGAATTACTGGTTAAATATAATGAAGGGAGCTTTGGCAGAAATCCTGTCCATGTGTCTGTGCCTGGAAAGCTGGCGATGTCAGCAGCACTGGTCAATTTTCATAAATTGATCCCTTTCAACCTTTGGAAGCAGTGGGAACCACAGGATGGAAGGAGGAAGTCTTTAATTACTGAAAATCCTTACTGCCAATATGACATTGCCAGCACTGGCAGATTTTGGAAATCAAAGATTTCCTCTCTTGCTCTAGAGCTCCTGCAGCTTCCAAATGATGAAATCGATTACACAGGAGCTGTGCAACAGAAATACGGAGTGTTTCATTTCCAAAAATTATCCCCTGCTGCTGATGTCATCAGCCTTCCATGGGTGTAATTGCATAAACAGGATTTGAGCCAGTGGGATGAAGAGAACAAAAGCAGTTCACAAATCTTGTAGAATGTATGCGTGAGAGCCATTACTTTTGCATCTTCCGTGTAGGACTGTTCAAACTCTCCCTCTCTGCTCTCTACAGGAATTCTGCTGTTCACATCCAGTGCTGTTTTGAGAATAATTTGAGAATAATTTTGGACAGGAGTGGGTGGATATTGGAAACAAATTATTAGCCTGCATAGGTTTTGCCATGCTTATAGCCTAAGGACAGTTTAAGCGTTCCCACACTGTATTTCCTTTTTAGTTACAGAAATACATGCTCAGTCTAATGGCTGAATCTGCTTTTTCTCCAGAGGTGGGCGTTCTATTAAGGATGCCATGTTTTGCCAATACCTGCAGAGAAACGGGAGAGACCTTTAGTTTGGCAGAGGGTTGTCTTGTAAATAAGTAACGTGAACAATGTTCAGGCAGTTCAGTGTAAGACTCTTGTTTAATGATGATGTTGAATTCCTTCTTTTGGGACAGCAAACAAGAATGACCTGCCAGAGTTAACAGGGGCCCAGAAGAACAAGTTGAAGCATTTAACTATTGTCAGCTTAGCTTCCAGAATGAAGGTACAGTACGGGCACCTGTCGTGAAGACTGTCCATTTTTTGTGTGGCACCTCCTGCACATGCGTGAATGTAGAGCTGTCTCTGTTGCCATTCTAAGAACCCAAAGCAGTGGAAGAGGACAGAGGCCTTCGAACCAGAGTTTTAACAATAGGGAAAGCAAAGAGGACCTTTAGTGAACTGGAACTTAACCGCCTGAACTGCTTCAGCTCTTTAGATCTGGACTTAAGTAAACCCCTGGATGCTTTCTCTGTCCTTTCTCCCATGCTCTTTTAAAGTGTGAGCTTACCATCTGAATTGAGCTGTGAATGGCCAAGGACCTGTGAGCAAACCTTGCCTAATGCAGCCATGACCTTAATCTCATCCGGTTGCTCCAGATGAAGCAAACAAATGAAGACGTTGCTGGCATTGTGTGTAGCAAAGTCTGGTCCTGCTTCTAGTTGTAATCCAACTGTGGGTTCTGTCCCGTGAGTAATGCAGGGCAACTGGCATGCGTTTGCAAGAGTCGTGTGCAGTGATTTTCCTTGGTTTTTTTGTTTGTTTGTTTGTTTTGGGGTTTTTTTTGGTAGTCAGGAGAACTGCCTTCTGCACCACCTTTCCATGAAAGTAGCGGCTGATGTGCTCTTGCACTGCACATGGTGTTCCCATGTAGCTAACGCCCGCTGTGCTGTTTTCGTTGTTCGGTAGTCTTTCAAACCTCACTTTAAACGCTGCCGCCTTGGGAGAACCCCTGCCACATCCCAGTCACTTTGAGATGAAGGAGACCAGCTGGCTCTGGGTGTTTGGATGGGCACCAAGCTGTATAAGAGCTTTCAAGCTGGTGTGTTATGTGTGTGTGTGTTGCATCTTAGTTGCTTTCCACCAGCTCTGGCTTGCATGTTTTCCTCTAAAAAATAAGAGGCCATGTTGATGCCACTTGTCTTGCAGGGTCACTTGTCCAGACCCAGAATTAGGACCCATACTGCCATTGCACAGAGAATGTGCATACATGCAAAAAGTTCTTGAGAACCTAAGCTTTCATTCGGGGTTTCAGGTCCTCGGGCCCTACAGAGAACCTATGGGCTTCTGGGCTTCCCCAGGTGCCAGGCCCCCTTCCCTGAGAGGCCATCATTTGACAAGTCACAGGCTCCCCTCCTTCTCCCTCTTCGAGACTGAAATGCCTGCCTAAGATTTAGTCAACAAGCGGTAAGAGCTTTCAGTTAAACCACGCCGGTGGTCTTTGTTAGCATCCCTTGTTCTCTGGCCCTGTCGGGGAGCGGATTGTGGACCTCTGAGAATTTATTTGAAATTTGAATTTGGTCTTTTGGCTGAATGAGGTTTCGCACCCTTAGTCCTTGTCAGAAATGAAAGCTGGTTTTAGGCCCTGGAGTGAATAGCCCTTTGCTGCCTCCTTTACTAAGAGCCACTCTGGGCAGAAGGCAGGGCTTTGGATCTGTTCCACCGTGGCTGATCTGGGCCTCCCTTCCTCCCTTCCTTTCTCCAGTGCATTCCTTACTCAGTATTACTGAAAGACTTGGACATGCGGAACCTGCGGGAATTGGAGGATCTGATCATAGAAGCCGTTTACACCGACATCATCCAGGGGAAGCTGGACCAGCGGAACCAGGTGCTGGAAGTTGATTTCTGCATCGGCAGGGACATCCAGAGGAAGGACATCAACAACATCATTAAGACGCTGCACGAGTGGTAAGCCGCCCACCCCCTCCCCTTGGCTTCCGCGCCCCTGGTCTTGTCCCTGCTCTCTGCTGGAGGCAGAATGGCCGTCTCTCCCCCACCCCACTCCACCCCCCGATGCCCAGACGATGATGGTGCAAGTGTTGTGTTTCCAGGTGCGACGGGTGCGAAGCCGTCCTGTTAGGAATCGAACAGCAGGTGCTCAGAGCCAACCAATACAAGGAAAACCACCACCGAACCCAGCAGCAGGTAGAGACGGAGGTGGGTATTCTACCCTGAGGAACTCCGGGGCTCATTAAAGCAAGAGGCAAAGCCGCTGCCCTGGTTGAGGATATAGTCTGGAACTCTACCCATCTCCCACCCACCCCTGTCCCGGCCCACTTTCTGTGAGTTTCTCCCAATTGCTGCCCCCCGTTACTCTAGAGATGCTGCAAGGTGTCCCTTGGGAAAGGCTGGTTGAGGGAGCCGCGGGTTTACGAGTTGGCCTCTAGAGGGCAGCACCAGCTGGAGGTTCCAAGCCCGGCGATTCTCGACGGGTAGGTGAATCGGCCGAAAGGGCTTAAAAAAGAACCAAGGTCCTTCACAATCTTGTCTTCCTTTATTTTACTAAGCCCTTTAATACAGTATAGTACTACGTTTCCTCTTCTGATTGGTGTCTCTGACCTGTGCTTGGCCCGAATTAGTGAGGACCTCGCGTACTTCAGATGCAAATACATGCAATCGAAACCGTGTTTACTCCCTTTTTATTCACTCAGTCTGTTTCAGAATAGGAACCTTTGCTCTGTGTGTGTGTGTGTGTGTCAGAGGAAATCCCCTTTTCCTTATGTACTATATAAAGCAAGTAGAGTTCACAGGTTAACAAGAATTAAAATATGGCACTGTTTAGAATGACATGTATAGTATCAATGTTAAAACAAGAACGCCATATAAAACCATCCCTTGTCCTTGATATATGTGATATATGTGAGGTTTTTTCTTTATCTGTAGTTTTTCCTTTTATACTTCTACATCTTTCACAATAATA